ACCTACTAGCGATTGCCTCCAACCTAGTAGCGATGGCCTCCAACCTAAGAGCAATGGCCAACCTAAGAGCGATGGCCTCCAACCTAAGAGCGATGGCCTTCAACCTAATAGCGGTGGCCTCCAACCTAAGAGCGATGGCCTCCAACCTAAGAGATATGGCCTCCAACCTAGTAGCGGTGGACCCCAGCCTAAGGGCGATGGCCGCCAACCTAGTAGCGGTGGACCCCAACCTAAGAGATATGGCCTCCAACCTGGTAGCGATGGCCCCCCAAGCTAAGAGATATATGGCCTCCAACCTAGTAGCGATGGCCTCCAACCTAGTAGCGATGGCCTCCAACCTAAGGGAGATGGCCTCCAACCTAGTAGCGGTGGCCCCCAACCTAAGAGATATGGCCTCACACCTAGTAGCGATGGCCTCCAACCTAAGAAAGATGGCCTCCAACCTAGTAGCGGTGGCCCCTGACCTAAGAGGTTTGGCCTCCAACATAAAGTAGCGATGGCCTCCAACCTAAGAGTGATGGCCTCCAACCTAGTAGCGGTGGCCTCCAACCTAAGCGGTGGCCCCCAAGCCAAGAGCGATGGCCGCCAACCTAGTAGCGATGGCCTTCAAAACAAAATCGATTATATAACTATATATGTACTTTCAAAAAAGCCTCTCCGGGCCCTTCCAGGATTGACAAACATGCCGACAAGAATGGACAGAGGGACACTTGGGAGTGTCTGAAAACCTGTCTTTGTTTTGCTATAGCTGAAAAGTCATTGTTTTGTTTACAAGAAACTACTAGGGAACTACGCTGTTGGTCGCCTGGGTATTATTGGTGGTTGCGTGATGTATCCCAATAGAAGTGCGTGCACGACGAAAAGGGGCCGAAAAGTGCAATGTCAGAAACTACTTTTTTCTCCTCATTCGGACCTCTTGAAGTGGTCGCCCAACTCTTGCAGCATCACATGCGGCTTCGCCGCGTGGATGCACAGTTCATTCGCATTTTCATTCAACTCTCTTAAAAAAACACCTCTCTCACTTATATCAGAGTCATCCAAGCAACCCCAATGAGCAGCGAACAAACACAAGAGCATAATTGATTGAAGACCTGATCTATTAAAGATCTACTAAACACCTAGGACCTAGGGGGCTGGGGCCTTACACGTGGCATCATCAACGTAGCGTCCAAAGTGTGCGCCAGCCCGCATGGACGTTATTAGCCCCCGCCCC